CTTCCGCCCTTGTCCTCCCTCAATATCATCTACTTTACACTACAGTACTTGGGGATGAGCCTGTGTAGCTAAGGAAGTAAGACTGGTCTTCTTCCCATGGGCCTCTTCTCCCGGTCTCCTTAACGTTCCAGCTGATGATTGCAGTCAAAAACTAAATCTTTAAATTCATGCCTTACTTCTAGACCCATAAGCTTCCCTCACCCGTCAAGCCAGGGTTTTTATTCGCTTTCTGTTTCATTGGACATCTTTTAAACTTATTTACTTCCGATATATGAACATCACAAATGTAAAAATATATTTCGGTTGCAAAAAGTATGAGATGTTCTGATTTTTTTTAGGTTCAACCTCGTTCTGCCGAGTATGTTGATATCGGCCCTGGCATTACTCGGTTTCACATTGCCGGCCGATTCCGGTGAAAAGCTCAATCTATGTAAGTTTATTACTACTACATCATTTTCAGTAGCCTTTTCCACAACCGAACAGGATTTCAATTTCCTTCTCACTTTCAACCTAAAGTTATTCAGCGATGTGAGAAAATTCGAATAAAAACTGAACAAGGAGGTCTCGCAGAGCACCCCTTATAATGCTCGATGAAAGATCACATTTTCCTTATTTCTGAATGAATCTTTTGGTACAGGACAATTTGCTCTCCCTCTAGAGGAAAAAGAAAAGTCAAAACTTCATGAAAACAAAAAATGCCTGGCAAATATTATTCAAAAAACTTTGACATAATGAAAACTGCCCCAAGACACCCCTTTTTTCAGGTAGTCACCTTTGCCTCATACTACTTCCTTAATTTTTGAACTTTTTAGGTGTGACGATCTTTATGTCACTTTGCGTATTCATGTTAATGGTAGCCGAAGCGATGCCACAGACCAGTGATGCCCTACCACTGATAGGTATGCTTTTTCTTCACCTGAGATTAGCCTGAGAGCTCAGGTTCACCGGGCTTCACCCATAAAAGTTTTTCCATGAAAAGAGTCCATGAAAAGCAGTTCTCGCTGCTCCAGATCATATAAAATGAACAGAATCTTCAGAAGCCATTTAATTCTAGTTTGAAAAGGACCAAGGATCTGAGTGGCTACTCATCAGCTTCAACAAATTCAGAAACAGCTGTTCCTTCTTCTTGCAAGACGATGGACCGAGTAAAGTGAAGAAAAAACAGGAATTAGGAGGAATCTTAGAGTTCTTAGCGAATATCTCGTTTGGTCCAACTTTTACCAAGCCCTTGTATCGTGTACGCCATTAACGCCATGTCTGGTACAGAAAGGACAGCTTCCGTAAAAGTAGCTCCTACACCAATCCTAGGAGTGAGCCATTTTGAGACCGGTCGAGCTCTGCTTTTTTCTGAGGTTGCTTTTCGATATTCCATTAATGTAGGATGACAAAAACTTAAACCGAACATTGGCTTAATCTGGTAAACTGTTGTAGGAGTTGATTACACCTGCTGACGATTGAAGATTTCTTTACAGAAGTCTACTTCTCCTGCATCATGTTCGAAGTTGGTGCTTCCGTGGTCTGTACGGTGTTCGCACTAAACTTTCACCATCGCACACCAGAAAGCTATCACCCCATGACTCCTTTCGTGAGTTTCTCTGACCTTAACCAGTCCGATCTCTTTCACTAATGGCTTCGTGGCTTCAGACACGGAAGATCCTCCTTGAATGGCTACCGATGTTGCTTTTTATGGATCGTCCGCCACCATTTCGAATGGAGCAAATTAGCGAGTGTAATGGTCACGTCATGGGCGAAAAGCATAAGGATAAGAGGTATACTATACTTCTACTCCCGTCCTCTCTCAGATAAAAGGTATATATCGTCGCGGAGCCCTAGAGACACCAAGTCTGTGCGATGATTCCTGAATAGGAGCTGCATTATTTGGGATTCATAGGAGCAGTCGAAGATCTACTGGGTTATCTCTGGCTATCACGACCCATGATCCCTGTCAGAGTACCTTTCGATAACCCTTTTACGACAGTAGGTACGACCAATTCTACCTACTGCCGTCGAAGGTGCTACCTCAGAATAATGGCCTAGCAATACATAGTGCGTAAGGTTGCACGCTCTACGAAAATGGAAATTCTGAATTATAGAAACTTAGATTTTCGAAAACCTGGCACAATGCCATTTCTGGCATGCCATCTCCATTTTACTGAGTGATTAGCACCTTTCCTGTGTAAAAGCATCCCATTCAAGGAAAATGAAGGGATACGTCGTGGATCTCCAGAAAACACTACTCGACAACTGCTATCCGCCAGTCGACAATAAATCCAAAGCAGTGCATCTCGATTTCTGCCATGGTTAGTTGAGTTTTTCTCGGATATTTCGAGCGAATATAAAAAGTTGGCGTAATTTTAGGGGGTCGAATAGAGGTTCGTCGTAAACCAGTCAGTGCTGAGCGAAATTCTTATCCGCTTTCAATGACAAGCAACAACGGCAGTTCACCAGCACTTGCTCAAAAGTATACATTCTCATCGAAACTTCATGTAAGTGCCTTCAAATTTTATTTTCAATGGGACGAGCTTAAAGCGCAACAGAAAAGGCGTTCGGTCGCATGCACCCAGTGTGCTTTACAAGATCCCGCAAACAATGCATAGTTTCAATAGAAGAAACACATGAAAAAGAGAAAGGGGAAGCTGCTGAAAGCTGGACTTTTCGGTGAAAGTCGAACCTTTGGAACGTGCTAATGACGACATCCATTCTGAATCATAGCGATTCTTGGACGCTTTTTTTCATCCATCCAGCAAAGGGCTTGGATGTTTACGGAAACCATAAGAAAAGCAAAGTACAAAAAGGAAAAGAGGGTAATGAGCACGGGACTCGAACCCGTACTTGTCCTTTCCGGGGACC